GTCCGATTCAGGCCGTCGCTGTAATTCCTTCTATGGTAACTTCGCAACTTGATGCTCGTTATGCACACCCTCCTTTCTATGCTCTCTACGATGTCAACTCCTCATGAAGCTATTATTTAGCGATTTATATTTTATACCAAGAAGTATTTGCTGTACAACGTATTGATGTTCATGTTGAGTACAAATAAACCAGTTTGAATTATACCTCACGTCTGTTCAACTCAAGAAAACACAACGCAATCGATGTCCGTTTCAATAACAATTCCGCATGATTAGTCAGTTCGTTTTATGTGACGAAAAGAACACCCCAACGCCTAGTTTTGCGATATAAACTTATCCACCACATATTGTTCGTGCATGTTGTGATACAGTTTATTAATTTATTCGGATTTTACATGTGCGGTTAATTGCTTCAATTTCAAAAGAGATAAGTATTCATAAATTTTGCACGTCAGTGAAAATTCTTAAAATTTTGTAGTTTTGGGGGTGTCCTATGACATGGAGTATCAGTGACCTTTGAAAAAATGCTAGCAATGAAAATTAATATAGTTTAACGTATCATCGTCTTGGTAAATTACTTTCATCCAGACCACCAAACATGCAATTACAAGGGTGAATGGTGTCCTAGAGTATTTATATTGAAAACACTGTCATTTGTTTTGTTGTTCGTGTCCTGAAGGCATGTGTAAAGAACCATTGCATGTATCCTCATCAGTGCGGTCAGTAAGTCGTAATGACGCATCACTCTTGCAAAAGGATTTTCCTGGTGCAATGAAAACAAAAAATTGTAATTCCATCTATCTGGAGTCGTATTTCAAAACCCCTTGACCAAATTTCTTCATTCTTTGCATGTGCCTACGACCTGTGCACATATAGTGGTTTAGATAATTGATTGGCAGCCATTTTGTTTTTTTGAAAATGTTGTATCTTGGACATGCTTTGTCTGTTTTTATTCAAATTTGGTACATAATTACATCATATATGTTTGGATACATGTCTATAACAATTGTTTTACAGTCAGATCAAAGATGTGTGGTAAATGTGATACATTTGTATCTTGGAAATGCTTCGTCGATTTTTGTTGACTGGGACTATGTCAGTCGTACTGACTAATGAATAAATATTGTTTATGTAAACAAGTTTTGTCCTGAGTGTTTAGATTTTTATCGTACACCTGTATATGGTGTACAGATATGCATACATATATATGCATACACATATGCTTTGTGTTATACTGTAGATAATTCAGTAGTAACCTCAACATTGTATAAGCCCGTCTAGTACTGCTAACATAATACAAACTGTTGTTATTTAATAATCATATCTATTATTTTTTTTATTATTGCATTTTCAGTGTTGGTAGTAAAACGCAGCCAGAATCAAAATGTCCAGAGTTACTAGCGAACTATTGTGACATGTTGCTCAGGAAAACACCACTTAGTAAAAAATTAACCTCGGATGAAATAGAATTCAAACTTCGAAATGTTGTAAGTATTATAGTACTTTTTTTCAACATAAGTGTAGGCGATATGTACTTGGTTTTGATTAGGTTGAAGGTCAGCCCAAGTTTTTGGACAGTCTTGTTCTGTTCTGACTAGGCACATGGAATTATCAAATTTGCTGCAGGAAAAAGTTATTGTATCAGTATTAAGGCCTTGTGGACAGCTCCCATAGGTTGTACACAATGAACAAACAAAATAGTATTTATTATAAAGCTTACTGTATGCACTGGAATCTCTGATCTGAACTTCAAAAAGACTGAGAAAAAAATTATATTTTCTGTGCAAGCAAGTCTATGGAAAAAAGATAAAACTGTTTGCTTCAGATAGGATTCTGGTTTACACAGGGTTTGCTTCAGATAGGATTCTGGTTTACACAGGGTTTGCTTCAGATAGGATTCTGGTTTACACAGGGTTTGCTTCAGATAGGATTCTGGTTTACACAGGGTTTGCTTCAGATAGGATTCTGGTTTATACAGGGTTTGCTTCAGACAGGATTCTGGTTTATACAGGGTTTGCTTCAGATAGGATTCTGGTTTATACAGGGTTTGCTTCAGATAGGATTCTGGTTTATACAGGGTTTGCTTCAAGATAGGATTCTGGTTTATACAGGGTTTGCTTCAGACAGGATTCTGGTTTATACAGGGTTTGCTTCAGATAGGATTCTGGTTTACACAGGGTTTGCTTCAGACAGGATTCTGGTTTATACAGGGTTTGTTCAGATAGGATTCTGGTTTATACAGGGTTTGCTTCAAGATAGGATTCTGGTTTATACCAGGGTTTGCTTCAATAGGATTCTGGTTTATACAGGGTTTGCTTCAGATAGGATTCTGGTTTACACAGGGTTTGATTTAGACAGGTTGTTTTACACTATTTCAATATATACTGTAAAATAC